AAATATATATATATATTTAAGTGTACTCGTTTTTTCAGGTGAGGAGTAAATAACAAAATTTTGTTATGTTTTAGTTTGATGAAAACGGCAAATACAAGTTCAGCAAAGCCGAGGCTGAGATTGAACAGAAGGGGCTGGAAGCTGAGGTAATAATTTCTAGGTATATTTATAAGTAGAGTTGTGTAAACAGTTTATCCACAGGCCTACCCATTTCCTTATTTGTAATATAAAGGTGTCTGTAATATCAAAATATTCTTTGTATATATAATGTAGATGAAAAACCAATTAATAAAATCATACAAAATTTTCTATTTTCAAAGTGGTGAGAAATTTCTTTTCATTTCTTTTTTTTTTGAGTTTATTGATTTCTTTTTTTATTGAGTTTATATAAGTACTTTGGCTATATTAGTTCTTGTATAGATTCAACCTTCACTATCAACGTCATGTCTTATAGTTTATTTATGTATTTCTTTTCATGGATTTTAGAATTAAATTAGTTTCATAAATTTTCTACTTTTGTTTAAATTAAGTAGTAGACTTTGTGCAATTATCAATCGTTTTGATTTTAAGTTGTATTCTTCGTTTCAATATGTAGAAAAGTGAATATATGCTGTAATTTCTCTTCCTTTCCTTAAGTTATTGTAGCTGTTATTAAACTTCGTACTAATTTACAGTTCCTGAAGAAAATGAAGGAAGAGCACTCATCTTGTAAGGATAACGCTGTAAGTACTGTTTAACTTATTTTACAATAAGAACATGATATTCTTGGATTATTTTACAATAAGAACATGATATTCTTGGATTATTTTACAATAAGAACGTGATATTCTTGGATAATTTTACAATAAGAACGTGATATTCTTGGATATCCAATGTTAAAGTCCAAATTGAAGTAGTTGAATTATATTTGCTCATTGAATCCTCTCTCTGTATTTTTCTCTGTTGGATTTAGTAAGGATTAATTCCAACTTCGATCAACTTAAATTCTATTGTTTCCCAATCGAAGTAGAGTAGCAAGTAAATTATTGTATCTTCACAATGATTTTACTATACGTAAATTAATTTATTGATTATTTGTTTAACACTTATCTGCCAACAACAAAGAAACCTTTTATTTTTCAGACAAGAACTGGAAAAGTACTTTTATTACTAAACTTACTTATTACAGCATTTATAGCAGATTCCAGTACAATTAAGTATGTTTAGATAATTTAAAATGTTTCAAATAAATATTTTGACGTTTGACTTGGTAAATATCGTAGTTCTATTTTATATGAAAACAACTGTATCTGTATTTTTTGTGCTATATAGGAGAAGAAATTCCCTGAAGATAACGTACTTCAGGTAAGATTGAAAGTATTGTTATATAGATTCCATATTGTTACTTGAAAACAGGATATTGTTATTTAGATCTAGTATTATTGCTTGGATCTGATAATATTACTTGGATCCGGTGTTTTAGTGTTAACAGCTATATATATATTAAAATTAATTGACTGTGAAAGCAAAAGTATTAAATACATTATGTAACTACTCAGTAACTAAGCTATAGCAAGTTGTTATCTCGCTTTAACGGATTTTTAACTATTCAGTATCAACGTTTTTGTTTGAAAGATAAAGATAGTGTTTTCAATCTAAAATTGTTATCCATGTCTTTCATATATGGCCAATTAAAAAGAATGTTGCTTATTTCAGGTTCAATTTTACCAACAGTGCATGGATTACAGCATCTCTAAGGTAAACAGAGTAACTTGTTTGAATAACTAGTTATTGTTTTTGTTTTTTAATATTGGTTAGGTACGTATTTCTAATTACACAACTAAAAATGTTTAAATATACAGATGTGATGTGCAAATATGCACCCCCAAAAAAATTAAACATACCTACTAAAATTAAGCTGAATAAGTCACTAGGATACTTTTGAACAGTGTGATAGTTCTTATTTACTTTCTGAACTTTATTTACTCAGTGTTTTGTTATCAGTGCTGACAGTTTTATGAATCAGTGTTAGTTTAGCAGAAATAGTAAATCTACGAGTAAACAAATAAAATAATCTTATGACTTAATTACAAACATTTCAAAGCTCAGGCCTTTTTTCTGCACTGTTTCTGAGAAAGTTCATTAAAAATATGTCCTTAAGCACAAACGGCACAATGGGCTATCCGTGCTGAGCCCACCACAGGAATTAAGTTCCAAATGCTAACTTTATAGGCCCTCAATCTCAGTTCCATAAATGGGTTTTAATGAGGAATAATTTTGCTAAGTTAATTACTTTTTATGTGTAAACATACACACACACACACACATGTGGCTAAGCGGTAAGTCTGTAGGCTTATAACACTAAAAGTTGGGTCTCGATACCCGTGGTGGGCACAGCACAGATAGCCAATTGTGTATCTTTTTGTTTAATAGTATACAAACAAACACTACACACACACATATATATGTATATGACAAAAAGGTTTGACTATCATAATCATATCTCAATTGAATATTCATGCATTATATTGTAATATGAACAAATGTGTTTAAGACTTTACTTTTATTTTCTATTTACTTTTAGATCTGTGAAATCGAAGTTGTTCCTCCGACAGACTAACAAGGTAGATTACAACATATTAGTTAAAGTATTTATTTTTAGCATATTCCTTTAAGAATGTAAACAATCTCCAGTGCGATAAACTACAGTGGTGCATTCTGAAGACTGGTATGACTGTAAAATTGTTTGTTTTACACGTTACTTAAAGTTAACTTAAACTCCATCTAAAAACTTCTTATACCGACCAAGCCTAAACGTCTTCATAGATCCAAGTAAAATGCTTGTAAAACTTAATTTGAACACTAACCCCAAAATTCTTAGAGGTCTAGTTACAAGTTTCTTATTTAAACAACCTGCGACTTGTAAACCAAAACAATCTTAACAGGTTGAAATATAGAGGTTTTTAGTGGAGATGAGTTTTTGAAGTATTACATAAAACTTGTTAAAAGGTGACATGTAAGTTCCTCACGAATAGGGTTCTGACATTTACTTCTCCTTGTTTATAGAATGGAACTGAACAATGAAGAACAATCTAACATGGCGAAAGATTTTCGTAGCAGCTGTTGCATGTAGATCTTTTGTAACTTTTATATATGTCTCTTGTTTTTTTTTTATATTCTTCTGAAGAGTCTTTAGGGTCCTCTCATTTCTTCTTTTTTGTTTAATAAAACTGTTATTTGATCTTGGACTGTGTTTTGATTTAATTGGTCGACAAACTCAGATCACATCAGTTATAAGAAAATAAATAAATAATTGTTATTTAGCAATTAATGATTTGAGCTACAATTTTTAAAACTGTTTTCACTAAATAACAACCATTTTAAATCTGATTTTGAGATAAAAAAATAACAAGGTAGCCTTTATAATTTTCCATAGTTTACAAATATCTTTAAAACACTGACTTGTGAAAACTATATGAATTACAATAGAGAAACACTTAATAAAACAGCGTAAAATGAAAAATACCACAATACATAATGGCAGAAACTGTGATATTACGTTACAATACGACTGATAATAATGCCTCCCCCCCCACGTGGCTCAGCGGTAAATCTGAAGGTTTATAACCACTAAAAACCGGGTTTCGATACACGTGGTGGGCACAGCACAGATAGCCCATTGTATAGCTTGTGCTTAACGACAAACATTGCGGGTTTTATGGGTGTTCAACTAGTTCCAACAGTTAATAGATCAGATCTCACCAGCGTAAGTGTGGGCGAATTCTAAAATTCAACGCTGACATTCAGCGTTGGCGCAGCCTGTTTCTAAAGTCCACTTTTGTGACTGTTGACTTCCATAGTTGCTTCAGCGTTGGCTCAATACACTCAACGGCCCGAAAGCGTTGAGATTGAAAATTGCAATATGGCAGCTTCTGTGAGGATCACGACACTTGTGATAAATGACTTACATTTTACTGTAAATAAATATGGAAACAACAACTTTTTCTTTTAAAATATAATCACTGTAGAAACGCAACGTTTAAATAGAAACTTTTTTTTTACTTGTTCGTTTGTTTGTTCTGAATTTTTCGTCAAAGCTACACGAGGGCTATCTGCGCTAGCCGTCCCTAATATAGCA